ACTGACTGTGACAAGGCAAGGAAGACTTGTCGAGTCCTACTGAGGTTGAATGTGCAATTCGAAGCTATACTCTCGCTTTATTAGGCTTTGGTGACTGTTGAAGGCGATATGGAGAAGCTTGAGAACCATTTGAACTGGATAAAATCCTCATAGATTGTCCATTCCTTGTTATGAATCCTCCCTGTGTCCTAATTCCATTTTTGGAACTTGAGTTTGATCTTGTGCGATCAACTTGCATGGATTGGAAGTAATAAGAAGAGCTGGCCACATCTTTTAGGCTTTGCAGAGGCTTTAGGGTTTCAACAACTTCAGTCATCCGTGGTCTGGCTTTGGGATCACGGCTAAGGCATTGGGCAGCAAGCTGGGCAGCTTTCTGAGCACCTTTGATAGCGAAGTGGCCTTCAAGGCGAGGATCTAGCAACCGTTCTCTTGTCTTCAAGATGAGGTCTTGCCCACTGCACAAAGATTGTGCTCACCATTTGGTCGATTTTTGTCCATAGATCTTCGGCCAGTCAACATTTCAAGTAAGACTACTCCAAAGCTGTAGACATCACTCGTTGACGTTAAATGTCCTAAATAAATGAGAGATGATTAGCTTTATGTCACCACATGACTGCTATTTTCCCAACAAATTGATCAATTATAAAAGATTTTTAAAAAGTATATATGAACTAAACATTCAATACAGTTTGCCAAGCCAAAGTAGCCAGGCTGAAAGTAGAAAATCTGGTATTTCTAAATATTTCACAGAGCAAAAGTTAAGATGTAGTTCAAGTGTCCCTTAGGGGATGGCCAACAGTTTGAGTGTAAGACTTCCATCTTAATTGGAGTTCTTGGGTTCAAATCTTTGCAGCAAGATGGTTGGCGGTTCTTCGTATTGAGAAGAGGGCCATATGCTCTTTGTATAGCACCCACCTATATACCAAAATGATTCTTTTTTTTTTTTTTTTTGGTGGGGAGGGGGGGGGGGTTGTTGTTGCTTAAACTGAGGTTTGGGGCACACAATTAGTCACAGATATCTTTAATATCCAGTTTCTTCTTAAATGTCAAGTAGTAAAACAAATATCATGCAGTAAATCATCCCAGTTTTATTTGTTGCAGATAAAAAAAAAATTACAATAAATGCCTTTTTGGAAAATCTGACCCATCCATTTAACCATATTATCATTGATCAACACAAGGCTAATTCTCATACAAAATTCATGAGGAGCTAATTCTACCAATTATCATCATATCCAAATATAAAATTTTTATTCCAACACATACCAGTCATCATGTATTCTGGTGCAGCATAGCCATACGTGCCCATTACCCGAGTGGATACGTGAGTTTTATCTCCCTCAGGACCATCTTTGGCTAGTCCAAAATCAGAGAGTTTGGCAAAAGAAACAGACAGAAAATACAGAGCTGGGAGGGTTATGGGTCACACTTTGGCAAAGGAGGAAGCTTTGGCGTTTTGTTCCTTCTAAGAATGTGTAAAGAAACAAGAATGCTGATACTTATAAAGGACAGTTTTTGCTGCCACTCTGCATCCGACAAGGAAAGTTTATTCCACCAATATGAGCTTAGTTGAGTTGGCATCCACTAACTAAAAAAACCTTGATTTGAGGTGTAGGTTAAGGATTTAAACCTGTCATACCAAGTAATTAACCCTCTCATATACAAATAAATAAATAAAATATACATAGATATATATATATATATTATATATAAAGGAGAAAAGTCTATTCCTTCTTTAATTGAAGGAAACTAACACTGGATGCCTTTCCAGTTGCCTTCCAGAAAATCAGGGCATCCCAAGTAATGCTTTTTTCACCCACAAGAAAAGGATTTGGCATTAATAAGAAAAGAAAAAATTACAAAGTTTTAATATTAAAAATATTAGGGTGTCTAATTATGATCATTCAATATGTGAGATATAATATAGGTTTTAACTCTATCAAACTCATAATCATGTGCTTATTATGAAATGTCTTGACTTTTTTAATACAACATCTTTTTTTTTTCCTTTTCTCTTAGTGTAAATATATGATGATAATTGGTATATCTTTTAATTTAATCCATTTTACAATACATTTATTAAGAAATTATATTTTCAAATTTGAATTCAAAGCAAGAAAATTTTTACTTATAAAATTAATAACTAAATCGATAAGTGTTGGTAGGTGTTAAACGGGATCATGTACCAATTATTACCCATAAATATAACATTCAATGTGAATTTTTTTTCTGGAATTGTATTTGAGGTAATCTAACTTCTTAATTATTGAATTTGAATTCCATGTCTTCATTTCATTATATCTATTAAATTAATAGAAATTTCTAATTAAATCTTGGTGTTTTTCGAACACTTAAGAATTAAAATTTAATTTCTTTGAATGGTTTTGACCAATTTAAGCTATGTTTTTAACATTAAGAAAGTAATGATTTTTCTTTTTCAATGAATCCAACTAAGGAATATTAT